TTTTCTTTTTCTTTTTCTTTTTTTTGGTCTTTTTGAGACAGGGTCTCCCTGTAGCTCCAGCTGACCTGAACTCACTATGTAGACCAGGCTGGCCTTGAATCACAAAGGTCTGCCTGCCTCTGCCTCCCAAGTGCTGGGACTAAAGGCGTGTGCCACCATGCGTGACTTGACACGGGCCTTTTACAGGGGAGGCTGGTCCTGGAGTCCAGGGCATTAATGAGGCACTAGATGGTGCTTTGTCAGTGGGGCTGATGGGAAGTCCTGGGATTCTGAGATTGTCCTTTGACAATTTCATGCATCTTTTGATTGTTATAACACATCACCATCACTAATCTCCCTCCAACCCTTCTTACCGTACCTTCTCTATAGGTCCCCTTCCCACATCTATGACTTTGGATGGTGGTGGGTTGTTTTTTTTTTTTGCATTTTCTTGTTGTTTGAGACCTAGTGAATTTAACAAGGATCATCTGTGTGACTATGGGTTTGAAACCACCCATTGGCACCCACTGAGCTCCTCAGTAAGGACTCAACTAAAGACAATGAATATCCATTCCCTGGAATCCATCAGGAGACAGCAGGAAGGGGTCGGATCCCATAACCCCTTCTTGGATCCAAGACTGACATTGATAAGCCCAGTCTTGTGCAGGCAGCCCCAGCTGCTGTGAGGTCATGACTGCAATGGCTGTGCCAGATCCAGAAGAAAGCATTTTACAGCCCTCCTCCCTAACTTGTGGCTCTTACATTCTTCCCTCCCCCCTCTTCTACAATGTTTCCTGAGCCTTACAGGGTGTATAAATATCCTGTTTAGGGCTGAGCACTCAACTGTTACTTCTTAGCACCTTGAGCAGTCATGAGCTCCTAAATACTTTTCCATTGGTGCAGTTCACTGTTCACTGCTAGGAGTGGCTTCTCTGATTAAGGCTGGGAGCAGCATTTGACTATGAGTAAAATCATGAATACTTGGAGGGCAGCTTGCACCATGACAATTTAGATGAACAACAGCAGTAAGTTTGTCCATAGGATCTAAGACCTCCTCAGCCATAGTTTTTTTGGTGGGGTATGAATTTCCTCTTGTGGAGTAGGCTCAACTTACATTGGGGATTCTCTCTCACCACAAGTAGAAATGCCTATCATCAAGGAATCAAATGACAAAAAAATGCTGGTGAGGATGTGGAGGGAAAAAACTGGTATGGCCACTACTGAAATCAGTGTGGAGGCTCCTCAAAATGCTAGAAATAGAACTATCATTTGACTTGACTACTCTATTCCAGAGCACAGACGAAAGGACTCCATATCATACTTGATACTTGCTCACCCATGTTCACTGCTGTTCTGTTCAAATGAGGAATAAATAATGAAAGTGTGGTACCTATACAAAATGGAATTTTATTCACAAAATTATATTAGCAGGTAAATGGATGAAACTAGAAAATTATACTGAGCAAGATAATCCAGGCTCAGAAAGATAAACACTCCATATTCTGTCTCCTATGTGGATCCTAGGTTCAAATCTTTAGATTTATATGCTTAATCTGGAGTACCTATAAGAAGGAAACTAGGAAAGATCCATTGGAGTCAAGGAAGCCTTAAGGGAGGAGGATAGCAGAACACAGGTGATATAAAAACAGAGAGAGAACTCTGAGGGTAGAATTTTAAGTAGGGATAGGCATGTGTATATGTGGGAGGGGAGTAGTTAAGTAAAGTTAAGAATGTATGAAAAAGCCATATGAGAACTTACTACTTTTAAAGCCAATTAAAAAATACAAGTTAAAAAAGAGAGTTCAGCTGGGTGTGGTGGTACATACCTTTAATCCCAGCACTCTGGGAGGCAGAGGCAGAGGCAGGCAGATCTCTGTGGTCAGCCTGGCTCTACATAGCAAGTTCCAGGCCAGCTGGGGCTACAGGGAGACCCTGTCTCAAAAATAAATAAATAAATAAAATAAAATAAATAAATAAAAGAAAAGAAAAAAAAGAAAGAGGGAGTTGGAAGGAATATATCCTGCATGTCTAGATAATGCTGCTTCTGAAAGTCAAGGGTTACTTAACAAAAACCTCAGTGCCATATGTGAGATACCGCTTTATGAATTGTTGATTAGAAAGGCCACAGAGGCCCTTAAAACAATACAAGCTTCTGCCATTCTTTTTGGTTGCCCACCAGGACCAACTGATAAGACCCTATTTCTGAAGATACTATATACCTTAGCTACAAAGTATAGAGAAATCAAAGGTGAAATGGAATTGACCTGGATGCTTCTTCCCTCTTGGCTAACTTCTATAGTGCTGGAAGGTGCTATACTGGCTGCTGGGGGTAGGGAAGGCATTATCAATGGTTTACCCAGATGTGAACACTATGATCTTCAATATCAATCTGCCAGGCCAGATGTGCCTACTGGTGCAATAGTGGCATAACTATTAAAGGGGTAACCAACAAATCCAAGCCATATTTTGAAAGCACAATAATCACGATTGTGGGGTGTGATGTGTATCCTAGCATCATTATCTTTAGTTGAATTTTTAAGTCATAGATTCTAAACTTAAAAAAAATTAAATGCATCTCAAAATTATCAAGGACACAGAAAACAGAGGCATAAAACAGTTACAAACAGCAATGGAACAAGACACAAAGGTCATAAATAAATCCAGAAATTTATGGCATGAGCTATTCTGGGTCTATGCTTTAAAAAAGTAAGGGTTTAAGATGGGCATGGTGATAGATATCTTTCATCCTAGCACTTGGGAGACAGAGGCCGACAGATCAAATCCCTGTGAGTTGGCGGTCAGACTGGTCTATATAGAGGATCCTGGTCAGTCAGGGCTACGTAGTAAGACCTTATCTCAAAAAAAAAAAAAAAAAAAAAAAGTCCATAATTTCCTCTGAAACTTCACCTGAAGTCACATATTTCATAATTTAGAATTTTTCAATTTTTAGAAAGATAATTTAAGGCATATGTGGTATATTATGTAACCCCAGCAGACTCTGGGGACAGTTTCCTTTATTCAAATGCATTAATATTTGTTTGGTGAATGATATATTTACATGAAATGAAAGTAAATTTCCTTATAAGAGCTTAGGTATATAAGGAAATGAGTTTTGAAGTCAAAGTTATGAAAACATTTTTGGCTTTCAGATTTTAGTACTGCAGATAATAAATTTCAATTTATTTTCCATATATTTATTGAATGTCTACTATGTTCTTGAAGACCTTATACAATAATAAAGACAGTAACCCAGTAATTTTAATAGATTATGGAATATTCCAGGTAGCAGAAACAAGAAAACTACAGGAAGGCTGTTTAGAGTGGGCTGTATTCAGGGAGCACAGTAGCCTAGCCTGAATTATTCTGACAGAATGCAAGGTTACGTATTCTAAGGAAGTAGGAAGCTGATGATTCAAAGGTTGTGTTTAGTATTGTTCCTTTATCATCACTAGCATGCTACTTTTTGTTAGTGGTGTGTGTGTGTGTGTGTGTGTGTGTGTGTGTGTGTGTGTTGTGCGCACGCGCACGCCAGTGCCATGTTTCAAGGGGAGGAACTGGTGAGTCTTCACAGGATTTAACACTCTGGGCTGTATGGATCTGAAAAGACTCTGAGTCATTAATGCAGTGTGGATGACTAAGAACACTTCTGTGGGGTAGGCTCCTGCCATTCACCAGGATGTTCAATAATAACACTTTCTGAGCACTATGTTTAGCAGCCTCCCTTCTTCCATGGAAGGGACTATGGTATACCCTACCAGCAACCAATTCGGGGGGACCTGACTCAGACTGTACAAGAACGCAACTGGGCTGCTTTAGTCTAATGAACTGAGTTCAGTTTGTTTAGGGAGCTATATTAATATTATAGCACTGCAAAATGAAAATACCTTTCAACCCTTCACTGAACAAAACAAGCTGTTCTTTTAGCACTGAGAAAGTCCAGGTAGAAGAGACAACCTGGAAAGACAATCTGGGTAGGGGCGAATCTTATTTGTTCATTGACAGAGTGGGCTGCTATTAACTGAGGTGTACTTTAGCTGACAGTTTTACAATTGATATATTCTATTTTAGACAGAGGACTGGGATGATCCAAGGGTTGGGCTCAGCCATAATGGATGTGTCAAAGGAGGCAGAAGGGATGTTGGGAGGATGTAGACTATAGCTGTTAGCATGAGGCACAATAGTGACAGACACCAGGGTGTGGTACCACCCTGGTTGCCCTTAGCTACTATCTCCAAATTCTCTTCCATGAAGAGGGGTGCTGGGGATGTGCCTGACAATTAGAGGGTTGTTGAGATCTGTGGTTATAAGGTTCAGTAACAGCACCCACTGATCTCCACCTGGGGTTCTATACAGGCCGGCTCAGTTCTCACCATCCCTCCCACTGCAGACTGACACAGGACAGAGTTCCCTGTGTGGCAGCCACTTTATGTAAGCTTTATATTAGTGGGGTTTTATATTAGCTTCATTTTGGCAACAAGAAAACCAAGACTAGAAGAAAGCAACATAGCTGGCTTTGGAATGAAAAAACCAACAACAAAAAAAACCAAGTTTCAGGCTATACTTTTTCAACATTCTTGATGTATATCTCTGGAAAATACTTTTAACTTCTTAGTAATAATTTTGAGAACTAGGAAAAGAGTACCTATGTCATAACTTTAACATGATGATTAAATAAGAGAATGTCACCTGCCTTCTTGGCCCTGGCCTGCCACATAGTAGGCATGGAAGGTCACATAGCTATCTAGAGCAATTAGGAGAATTAGAGTACTGGCTGTCATTTAAGAGCCCCAAGGGGTTATTATTATTTTACATGCTGCAACCATAATTGTTTTCAAGAATTTTTCTGGTTAGATGGACTAGGACAGTATCAACATTTACTTTCAAAGCCTTGGGTAACAACAGTCAGTATATAAATATTCCCTAACTTAGTGTGAGGTAGCCAGGGAATGTAAGAGTGGAAGCACTGAATATTGACCACAGCCCCTAGGATGAGAAAGAACTCGAGCAGCTCTGATCCTTACCACTTCTCGCTTTTCCACTTCGAACCAGCGTGAAATGCCAGGTAAGCTCTGCACCAAGTAGAGGGAGGTTCTTTCCACCCAAAGACTCTGCAAAACAACACAAATTAAGTCCCTAAGCTGCCCTTCTTTCTAGGCCCTGAGCTGTGACAAATGTGATCAGGTGTTGCTTATTTCTGTCAGGCTTTCTTTAGTCTTCATTGGAATACTTGCCAAACAGTCACAGTAAGAGGCAGTTGATGCTCATGTTAGGAATTCTGTGTGCTGCCTAGAACTATGCTCCTACTTCAGAAAAGCAAGGCTCAAAATACAATAGCAAGCTGTATGTCATTTTTCTCTACTGTTTCTCTAAAATGTGAATTTAAATTCTTCACGCCTCAAGGTTTAGCTATTTTTATCTAGAACAGGTGATAATATGAGCTATCAAGACAATATAAGGGCAACAGGATCCTAAAGAGAGAAAGGATTTTAGGAATCACATGGCTCCAACCTTCTATTTTCAAGTGAAGACACTAAGTCTCAAGAGACTGTTGACGTGCTCAGAAGGCGCATTCTAATTACCAGAAGAGCTGGCACTGACAGCCATACAGGATCCCTATTGTCTTTCCATTGCCATGTGCACAGGGCCATATTCCTTGTGATGAGTGGAACTACTGTAACCCAGGTGGTCCTGTGTGTGCTGGACTCCCTCTGCCCAGGACCAGCTCCCCGGGGACACATGAAACCACAGCTGCTTTTGGCATGAGCCACGTACATCACACACCCTTTTATCAACCAGTTTTGGCATTTATGTCGTATCATTGTTATTTAGTGTGTTCCCAAGAGGAAAAGGAACTTGACAAAATTCCTGAAACTGTACCATTTATGTGAACCTGGAGGAAGGGGGTAAAAGGAGGAAGGTTTCCTTTTCAGCAGCCAAGAGCCACTAGGTGAGTATGGAAGAGTGTCTGTGACAAGAGCTCACAGGATTCTGACAGGGAGATAAGCTGATAAGTGCTCAGAGGGAAGAGGGATGTTCAAGGTGTGCAGGGGATGCTGGTGTTAAGTCTGTGGGGGATGAGGGTGGCAGTTTTCGGAGGATGTGACACAGGAGCTGAATTTTATAGAAGTGAGGTGTTCACCAGGAGGAGATGGGGCAGCTGTGCAGGCAGCCGGAGGCGGCCCACACAGACACAGAGCTGCTTGTGAATGGGTGTGGTGCCCAAGGAAGAGAGATGCTGAGTGCTGCTGCAGCAGACAGGGAGTGCAGGTGAGCAGGCTGTGGACAAGACAGGCTCTGGGGAACAGGGTGCACACTGGAGCCAGAGTTTGAAGGCTACAAGTAAGGAAAAATGAGCCTGATTTATCCCTGCTCCCCTCAGTGAGGTGGCTGTATCACTGATAAACACTTCGAGTGCTGGCCAAAAGGAAATATGGTATGTTATAAAAAGCAAAAGAAGAGATGGATTCCTGTGCTTGACCTAAGGGTCTTGGGCACGTGACTCTGAGCAAGTCATCTGTGACTCCAGTGCATCCATGGCTTAGGACTGGAAGCCGCTGTAAAAAGGAAGAAGCATATCATGATCTAATTAGATCTTTAATTGACTTGGGAGGAGAAAAAGAGAAATAGAAGCATCCAGAAAGGACTAGACAATGATTGCGGGTCTTTTCAGTACTATCCCAGTGGTGTTTTTCAATAGTCTCCTTGCTATTCAATCCATGGGGAGGAGGACCATGTTAAGGGGCCAGTGGGAAGGCTGCTCGTGCAGTCAGTGGGCTCTGTTCTAACTTTTGCTCTTTTCCTCATTAGAACAGTGTGTGATTAGATTTCTGCAGGGACCCAGAATGGATATCAAATCTTCTAAAAAGGCCTGTTTAGCCCCCTGGGAACCTTACAAAGCTACCATAGCTTTCCTTTTGTCTTTTTAGATGGAAATAATTCCCGGAGTTCACCTCCTGGAAGCACTGGGAACCGATGGTAGGGATGATGGGTGAGTCAACATTTGTAAGGCTGACAGTGGGAGGAGATGCTTCCTAATTTAATAACACAATATCTGTAACAAGAGAGGCTAAGCCAGTGAACCCACAACTGTCAGCTCATGTGGCAATTTTTGTTTAGTTATGCATGCTGATTCACTGGAGTCTATTTAGTCACACTATGTCTCTGTTTTCAAGAAAAGGGATGATCACAATTTTACAGTCTGCCCTCTCTTTCCTTCTGTGAAAACTCTCACCTTTCTGGCTGGGAGCATTCTGAACTAGTGAGGCACACTGGAACTGGTGAGAACAGCAACCTAGCACACACAAGATGTGCATGTACTTGGCCCTCCTCTCAGAACCTAACCACACACAGTTTTAATGAGGAAAAGAGCAAGCAACAGAGCAGACCCTACCCAGGGCACCAACAGTCTGCCCACATGGCTCTCCTCAGGGTTCTTTGCTGCTCCTTAGATTTTCTTTACTCGCTGTACTCCCTTGTATCTCGATACACCCCACCATTCCCACAATGGTCCAACATGAATGGACAACAGGACCGAGTTACAACATAGGTTTAAAGAGTGGTCTAAGAATCTCTGGTATTAGAAATGCCACAGAGAAGTTGATTTCAGGACCTCCTCCCAGATCTACTCAGATTTTCTGGGCTGGGAACAAAAATCTTCTTAGTTGGAAAGTATCCCATTACTTGGATGTACTGCAGGGCTGGAGAGCTACTAGACTAACGGATTTCTAGAGTCCCTTTTGGTCCTGTCATCTGACATGGTTCTTAGTTAATATTTAGCAAGGATTTGGCCCCAGGGAGCTCAGTTTAGGAGAACATGTTCCGGAGGGTACCTTGAATTCATTCTCCTTGTCTTTCGTGCCTTTGTGGAATGGTCTATCATAGCGGAACTTCCAGATATGGTTCACTTTATAGAAGCTTTTGATGTTGTCTGGAACCCCTTCTCTCTGCAGGACCTCCTGGCTCTCTGGAATGGGAGTCACAGCATATATCTGCAAATCTAAGATTAAAGAGTCAAGGAATAAACCTGACTTGACAAACAGCAAGGAGGTCTGACTTAGGTGCAGAGAGAATAGGATGGGTAACAATCTGATGTTTCCATCTCAGTTGAAATCATTTAAAAAACTGCCCCAATGATACGAAGAACACATTTCTAACCATGCCTCAGACTTCAGGCTTTGATCAGTCCTAGGTCGGTGATTCTGACAAGGCATCTGTTTGATATTTCTATAACCTATGAACTTACAGATTACTAGTTATTTTTGTGGGGGTGGGTGGGAATAGTTGGGTCTTAGGTATTCAGAATCAGAATAATCCTAATTCTTTTTACATGAGATACTTTTATATTTAGTCTGTGCATGGCTCTTCAAAATGATAACAAATCTTCATACAACCATGACCAAAGACAGAGATTAGAACACGGGCAAGAACTTACATTTACCCAAGTGTTGTTGTGACCCCTTCCTGCCATAACTGTGGCATCCATTCTCCCAACCCAGGTACTGATAAGCAGAGTGGTTAGTTGTTGACATTTTAACACATTACACAAAAAGTAATATTATTTGCTTCCTTCTCAAAGAAAGAGAGCAAAACATTTTTATTATGCAATTTCTTGTTTCTCTTGCATTTAGCTTTCTGCACTGAAATTATATCCATGATGGCCACTGAGAGTTTCCATGTGATATTTAAAACCATTGGTTTCTGATGGGTCCAGGAAGGATTGATGGATGAACTGCCTTTGTGCATAATGCCTACGTATTTACAGTTGAGTTGTTTGTGTTTGGACAATGGGAGTATAAATTATATGCAATTTTTAAAGGGAGTCCAGGAAATCATAGCTTAGAGCCCCCCAAAGATACTGGAGGCACCACTTTCTCTTCCCTTTCTCATGGCAGCATAAAAGTATGATGGGAAGGAGAGTGAAAGCTGAGCACTCGAGAACAGAATGCAAAAAGAAAGCTTTAAAAGCAGGCTTGAGATATACAGGAGTTTTAATTAAAAGGGAAAAAGTTTAACAGAATCTTTAAGAGATTTCTTTTCAACTGACATTGTGCTAATAATAGACTAAGTTCTGTTCAGAAGGAGCTAAGGTAAAACCAGGATGAGCACTAGGGAGGGAGGACTGTGGCCACTGAAAGGGAAACTGAGACTGAACCGCTTTGCAGGACAATGCTCTGCAGCCAACAGAAGGTGCCCCACGACTGGAACCCAGCCCGCCTAGGTGTGGATACACTGAGCCTCTGCCTGGAAGATGGTCTCGTCAGGCTGGTTGGCATGCTGCATGGCAATGGCATGAGGGAACTCGTTCAGCATCCGCTGCTGGAAGGCCTCCAGTCTTTCATAGTCATGCCCCCGACACACAAACTCCTTATTCTGGGGATAAAACCAAAAATGAAATTAGGACTATGTAACAGCGCATTTCTTACAACTAGAAGCCAAAATTAAGACTGTGGCAAGAGCTGACCATGTGCCCCCCCCACCATTGCTACACAGAACAGTGATAAAGTAAACTGGAACAGCTTGAAAAATATACCTTAACATTTAAATGTTGGACAAGGCTCAGGAGGCTCAGTCACTATTGCTTTTCATCAGACTCAATACAAGTTCCGCTTTTCCCAGTTCATTTGCATGAACTGTGATGAGGATATGAAACAAAGCATCAAAGTCCAAGGACAAAGCAATGTTTCCTTTAAATGTTGATGGTCACGTGCTCAAGACTTTTATAGAATGGACATAAAACTCAAGCACAGATATTTCTAATTTCTAGATAAAGTAATGGTAATAACTAAAAATCCATCCTTTGTAATCTTTCTAAAAGGCCCCTGAGATCAACCTTAATACTTTTGACAAAAGCCTTCAAAAAGACAGAAGGACTGAAGGCACTGAAGTTTCCATGCCACAGCTAGTTCAGCTCAGCTTCCTGGGGCCAGAAGTTCTCTTAACTGCCCAAAGCTAAGACTTAAGGAGTTTTAGGGCCTTGCATTATATTACATTGCATTATGTATATTCTACAAGGTAGGACTCTCTCACTCACGAAAGACTGCTGAAGGTTAGGGTCAGTGAGATGGCTTGGTAGGTAAAGGTGCTTGCTGCTGAGTCTGATGACCCGAGTTAAATATCTGGGACTTAGGTGGTAGAAAGAAAGAACCAATTCATACAAGTTGTGCTCTGACCTCTGTGTGTGCTATGGCAACCCCTCCCCAACACAAACAACTTAAAGAAATGTAAAAACAAACAAAAAAACAAACAAAAAAAAACCCTGCTAAAAGTTATTCTTGAGCTAGCCCAGAGAGCTGCAAGGATGGGAAAGTTTTAAGAGTATCTATCTTAATGTGCTGGTTAGTTATGGGGGAACACTTTCTAATAGTTAATGACCATGAAATTACAACTGTTGAGCACAGTTACTGCTAAGATTCCACGGTGATGAGAATTTTTCACCAACCCACCACTCTTCCTGCCCTGGCTCACAGGCTTTAAGGACTTTGCCCATGGGTACTAGATTAAACTCAGGTCTGAGTCTAAGGCCTGAGCTCTGGTTTCTCTGAACCTAGCCTGGTATAGTCAGGAAACATCCTGGGAGTCATCAAGAACAAGAAATGGTTGAGAACTCATGCCCTAATGAGCTTTAAGACATGGACAGAGCAGTTTGTGGCCTGGGGAGCAGACTCATGTTTTCAGCATCCTTCAGCTCTCTGAGGTTCCAGAAACACCCAAGGAAAAAGCTCTATAGTGAGGGAGTCAGATACATCTCCTGACGGGGGCTCAGCCTTGAAACTACAGATGACTGGAGGAAGTGCTACAGGGACCAGGCTCCAACTTGCCTCAGTTTCCCACAACCCC